ATATATATATATATATATATATATATATATATATATATATATATATATATATTTTTTTTATTTTTTTTGTTTTTTTTTTTTGAGAACTTGGTCGAAGTTAATATATGCCAAGAAACGTGTCTGCTCAGGCCGATTAATGCTTGGCTCTTGCTTGGCTCTGCCCACGCTTGACTTGATATCTCCGCGCGAGTTACGCACGCGATTAAACATATCTAGCGTGTTGCTATTTTAGTGCGTTTTAGCGTTCGAATGAAACTGAAATTGAATAAATATGAGCTGTTTGATCATGCTAGATTATAGCAACCAGCAGGGATAGTAAATTATTAGTTTTTCTTATACAATTGGCCGTTGTATAGTATAATATATCGTATGCGATATGCGGCGACCTTTGAATTTATGAAGTTCGCTATTGCGGGTTTTTATGTCTGAATTATTCAACATTGATTTGTGATTCCTCTTTAGTTTCCCACGAACAGAAAAAGATTTGAAATACAAATAAGTACCCAGCATATGGCTGATTCAAACTTTTTTGGGGTGGTGATGTTTTACTACTAGTTTTAGTGTGACATATTTCTCTCAAAACTCTTAAGGGCGCAATAAATAATGTTGTTGAAATATAATATCCTTTCATATAAAGGCTCAGACTTGTGTCGAATATTCTGTTCAATATATAAACGAGCATATGTACTTATCATATTGTACTTCTGTGCATATTATTCTCTCTGTTACTCGCATATTCTTTGAATGCACCACGTACTATTAGTTGCAGTTTGTTAGTTATTGTATGTGTATTTGTATTTCATAATATTTTGTTTCACGGCAGGGGCCTATAATGATTATGGCGTGCGCGAATTCATCACGCGAAAAACGCATTGGACTTGCCGACACATAAGACAACGTTAATGTGGGTCGTAAATACGTACATTTTGTCCAGAGTACAGCCAACTTTGGTCCCACAATTAGAATTGTAAGCATTGTAATCTGGAACGATCGTTTTATTGCAAATCATATTGACATTGTGCGAGACATTGTTGTATTCACAGCAATATTTTCAT